TTAAAGCCGGTGTTGAATTTCCTAGTTAATATATTTTTACTATTAACACTGATATATATTATCATATTTGATTTGATTAGATTTTAATAAACCCAGCTTTAGTTATTTCCTACTTATTTTTCAAATATTTCAAAATATCAAGTAGTCTGGGAGTTTAGTTGTCAAATTAACAAAATGAAACTAATGAAATTTAGTTTCATTATTTACCTAGGTTTTTTTTTATTATCATTATTTACCTAGGGAGAGAAATATTACTTCTCATTAGAGGAATGGAGTAAATAATGGTGATTTCTCATGTTAGTAGTAAAAAAAATTAAATATTATATAAGCAAACATACAAAAACTGTAAACTATAAAAATATTATAAAGAAGAGGAAGGAATGGATGACATTAGGTCTATCAAAATCTATTAAAAACAAAATATACTATATACTTTACATTTAAAATATCCTCAAAACCCTGAATTAGAACAACAATATAAAAATTACAAAAAACACATAAGACTACTTTAAAAAATTAATAGAAAAAAATAAAAATACTACTAAAAACTTGTGGAATGCAGATAATATTTTATAAGAGAACATCTAAAACAATGTTTAAAACTATTAAATTAGAAAATGGCGAAATAATTAATGATGTATTGGAAATTACAGAACAATTTAATCAATACTATGGTAGCTTGGGTGAGCAATATACTAAAAAAATAAAAAACCAAAAGATTTCTCAGAACGAATACAAATCATTGAAAACACAATGTACTTTCACCCAACAAGCGAATACGAACTAGGGAAAATTATAGATAATTTAAAATGTAATAAATCACCGGGTCAAGATCAAATTAGAAGTGAAATTTTAAAACAAATTAAAACAAATATTTTCACTCCTCTTACGCATTTAATTAATGTAGTTTTAGAGGTTTATTATCTAGATTTAAATATTTAAGAGACATTTTAGACAAAAAACACTTGCGCACTCTTTATTTCTCTTTAGTTCAATCTCAACTGAGTTATGGGATACTAGAGAGGGGTGGCGTTTATAATATTTATCTAAAAATCTAAATATAATACAAAAATGGATATTAAAGATAATCCACAACAAATCGAGAAATTATTCAAGCGATATTTTATTTTCAGAACAAAAGGTATTTGACAACTTTATTTTTGGAAAATAGCGATAAATATATATAAGGGGAAGACTAAACTCGATAAAACCAGACATATGCACCAAACTAGAAATAAAGCAAATAAATATTACTTACCCAGAAAAAACAAATTAATAGGTTGTAGATCTTCTTCATATTTGGCTCCTCGAATTTATAATTTCATTCCTATCGAAATACAATAAGAGAAAAGTCTTTATTCTTTTAAAAAGAATCTTAAAAAATGGATTTTATGTCAATCCAGGTCAAATATTAAGAACATAATAAATCAAAAATAAATTCATCCAAAGAAAATAGAAGTATATTCAAAAAATTATATGTATGTATAAACAAAATAATACTTACATACCGAGTTGTCAAATTATTTACTCATACATATTTTACTTACATAATGGTCTAAAGTAGTGTATCAATTTGTACTATCAATTTAAATTTATATACCGATTTAGACATACAGGGTGTTAAAAAAAAGTGTCACAAAATAAAACGGGGGGTAGTATGGGCCAAAATATGCAGAAAAGTCTTAATAAACATATGTCCGCAAATGAATGGTTTCAGAGATACGGAGTGTTTTGTGTTTTGTATCATTTTTTGATTATCTTTTTTCATTCTCAAAAACTTGCTTTTCTTATCGGAGTCTACCGATGTTTTTTCATAGATACTATTTGCAGTTATTATTTTGTTGTGGGTGAATAATTTTATAAATTTTCGTTATGCCTGTTTACACTAATATTGAATTAGCTGACATGCATTTTATGTACGGTCGTGCAAATGGCAATGCGAGGGAAGCGATACGTCAGTATTTGAACATCTCATTTAACTCTATGTTGTTATTGATTGTTTATAAATATTATTGTTTTTTATAATAATAAAAAATTGTTATAAACACAAAATGGTCCGTATCTCCGAAACCGTTAATTTGCGGTCATATATTTATTAAGACTTTTCTGCTTATTTTAGGTCATACTATTCACCATTTCATTTTGTGACACTTTTTTTTAACACCCTGTATACATATATTTATAGATTTAGACATTTATACCGATTTAGACATAGACATATATACCGATTTAGACATGTATACCGATTTAGCCATTTGTTTATACCGATTTATTTATATTTATGTAATTAATTACCATTATTATTTCGTGCCACGCACAAGTAGAATTTTTAAAATTCTCCTTCTGTGGCTTTGTCTTTTGTTTGTTAGCAAATTATTATTGATTCTTAGTTGTAAATTTCTGTATTTTTTTGGCTAATAAACACATTATTATTATTATTATATTAATTTGTTATTGGCTATTGGCACATTTACCTACCTAATTATGGACACTAGACATTGCATGAAAGAAATAATCAATATAAAGTCAGTAAATTATCGAAAGCACAAAGGTACCTAATAATGAAAGGATCACAAACAATGCTTATCGCTGGATTCTGGATAGAGAAAGCAATTAATTTTTCTATGATTACTAGGTAGGTATAAAAAGATCGTTTTTCTTACAGCTTCCTTGTGTTGAAATTTGTAAATTTCCTATACTGTCAGAAATACCTACCTGCATTATAAATAGGTATGATTTTATTTAACATAATTACCTACCTCTGACTATGATATTTTTAAAAACTATCAAATTTAAGAATTTAATACCGGTATAATTTTGTATATGTTCACATTTTGGATAGAAATACACTATTGGACACAAGTGAAGTGGTAAAATCAAATATATATAAGTAATTACTTAAAATAAACACTTTATTAGCGCGATAAAAGTAGGTATAGCGACTCTTTGATTTAGTGTAAAGGAAAAGAGTTTATGATAAAAGTAAGCTAAAAATTACAGTTTTCAAGTAACAGTCCCTTATTTGCAGAAATAAATATGCTAAAAGGAAAACGAATCTGTATGTAAGAAAGAAGTTGTGAAAAGTTTTTTTTTAATCTGTATTTTGTCGTGCTAATAGGCCTTTTCATCACAATTTTTTTTTGTGCGCATGCATCAGTATCAGCCATCTTTTTCGTACTGTTTTTTGTAAACAAGTATGTTAAAATGCCAACGTGAAAAATATTATTATTGATAAATATTAATTTAAGTATACCTATTCATTTAAAACAGGAAGAAAAAAAAAAAGTAATAAGTCTCTTAATTGAAAAATAAATTTTTGTAATTATATTATCTGTACGGAAAGGAACAACGAAATGGTGATGTTATGGAGTGTGTTAAAGTGACACATCGTATAAATCATTCAAAGGTAATACATATTATTTTTTATAAATTTTCCAAAGCCTTGCTTGCAATATCGTAAAAAAATAATTAGATCATCAGGCAAAATACATATTAAAACATGTTCAAAATGGGCGAAAAAATGTGGTCGAAGTGACAAAGGTTTTCGATCGATTGATGATGTTACTATTTGTTCACTACATTTTTATGGAGAAAGTGGTCCAACAGAAGAAAATCCTCACCTGGTATTACACAATATTTTTTTAATATTAAATACTACTTACTTCGGTATACACAATAATATTGTTAAAACTGTCATGTGGATCCTCAAAGTATTAAATAACTTATTTTATTAATTATACTCGTGATTAACTTTCATGTGAATTAAAGTGTTTTTTGCGAGTACTAATAGTTGACTGGCATATTTAATTAAAATAGAGTTATAATTATTATTTGTTTTCACTTTTTTTTACACAATAAGGAAGTATTGATACCTAACCTCTCAATCAGCACACTTTTTCCCTGTTTGCGAATATCCATTACACTTCAAGTACCTTTTCAATTGCTCACAACTATGAGCTTCCACATAGTTATATAAAAGTAAATCACCATCAACAATTTTTTCTAAAGATTGATTTGTCTGTAGAGATAAGATAGCTTTTCCAACCATTATTGATCAAAACAGTACGAAACTTTGGAATTACCGCTATTTCAACATGGCGGCTGCGCCTTGCGCTCATCACATGATAAAAAGGCCTATGAAAGGTATTGTTGAAAAAAATTATTACATACTAAGTTGGGATTTCTATCTGATGAAAATTATTTATGAACGACTGACATTTGTGGATTTGTAATCTTAACTGTAAAACTGTCTTTATATAATGAAAACAAACAACACTGTTTGATGAGCATAAAACCTAAAGACAAATTTTTTTAAGTTAGCCCACTTAGAGGTTGGTTTAATAAAACGCAGTGAGTTTCTTTGTTCATATTATTGAGAATTTTGAGCAAACTTTTCCTATTTTCTTTTCTGTTTAATAATAATTAATAATTTAAGGTTGTGTCACGTGATCCAACAGTGCATCAACATAATCGAGTCGATGGATTTGGTGACAACCATCTGAGAATTAGGTTGAATTTAAGAATTTGATGCATGACTCATCTAAAAATGTTTGATGAATAAAAGAACAGTTTTGATAATTATTAGATGGCAACGATAAATATTAGAAAACGCTTCTTATTTGACATTGGCAAACAAACCCATTTCACCTATGACAGCAGCCTACTATGATCTATGACCGCATAAACTACATGAATTTTAAATAATTAAATATTTGATTTTATCATAAAAGTTGCTCCACTTTTGTCCAATAGTTTAGGTATTCAAATAGGTATTAAAATAGGTCTTGAAATAGGTATTGAAATATGTAATGAAATAGGTATAGAAACAGAAAATCTAAATATCTGCGTTTCGTAAATTTTTATGTGAAAATGCTGGCTGGATTCCTAATATATTATATTACGTAATACAACTTGAATAATTTTCCATAAAAATTCTATACGTGCAATTTTGTACAGGTAACTTGACGAGTTTTATTCAATTTGTACTTTTTTCTTTTCAGAAATATCCAGTGAAGATAAACTAAAAAAACCAAGACGAAACAGAACTACATTCACAACAGCCCAACTAGCAGCTCTAGAAAAAGTATTTGAAAAAACACACTATCCAGATGCGTTCGTCAGAGAAGATTTAGCATCCAAAGTTAGTCTTAGTGAAGCCAGAGTACAAGTAAGTCTAATAAAAATATATAATTTTTTCGGAATTGTACGAATTAGAGATGTATCCTGATGTATCCTAAATATCTAAATGAAGTAACTTTTTTAGAGAAAATTAAAAAATAACACATTTATGCACTTAAATATTCTTCAACGATTATTTTTCTTAAAATTTAAAAACTTTCGTAATAGTATAAGCTTAGTTTTAAGATCTATAAAATAAATATAGCGGTATAAGATCGGGTGAACTAGCAGGCCTCTCTAATGAACTTCGTCGTCCAATCTGATGAACTCTTTAATAAGTACCTGCTAAGACTGAGAAAGGGCACTGAAAAGATATTTTTTCTCTCCGAATTCCTAGAATTTGTAACTAGAATATCAAGAATTAAAAATACAATAGTGTTCTCAATGTAATGTTATTTTTTTTAAAAAAGTAGGTAAAAACAATGCAATAAGCAACTGGAGTTGCTCTATTGAAAATTGTAAAAGTACTAGCAAAACAAAACTGTAAATTATAAAAAAATTCAGTAGCAAAGTGGAAATTAATTCAAAGAAATAAATGGCTAGGTGTACAATAAGAAGAAAAATTACCTTGGTTTTTGTAATAACAGTAATGCTGGAAATAGTAGACATCACAAACTTGAAAGGTTTTAAATAATAAATTATCATTTTACGATGTTCTTTAACATCCCTTTAATCTTAAATGTTCAGCAAGAACTAGATTTCTGCCTTTGAATATTGTATGTGGCGAGAATGCAATTTTGTGACTTACTGATACTGATAGGAAACCAGTTTTAATAATTTATTCTATGTTTTCTTCAGAACAAAAATGAAAATATAAACAAAAATCCTTCTATTTATACTTTTTAACTTCACGCTATTATTTAATGGTATTTTTTTATTTTGACAGAATAGATTAATTCTTCAAAGACAACTTATTAGACTTAGGCAACTTCTCATTCATTTTCCCGTAAATACTGTTGCCTGTCTATATTTTATTATTGATTTTTATTAATTATACTTACCTTTTTTTAGTTTAAGCGATAAAAATATATAATAATAATAAATTAATGTTTTACTTGTTTTACAAATCCATATAACTTTATTAAAACTAATATATATACTTTTTAATTACGAATTCTATTAAAAATTGTATAGCCAGTATACGTCAAAATACTTCACGGGGCGAATAAAAAGTAACAAAAAAAATCTAATTGTATTTGTAATTAAAAAAGCTTTCAAGTAAAAAATTAATCAAACCAACCTTTCATTAAAAAAACAGTTAAGGATGTCTGCAACCCCCCAGTTAATTAAAAACATAAACAATCCTCTTTGTAATGTGCCCCATTAAAAATAAAAATTGACCTGTTTCAGGAATTTTGCCACAAACCTTCATTTATTAAGTTGCAGAATTTATTCCACTCTCTATATAAACTTATTTCTTGCACTTTGCAAAATATATCAATAGGCCTAATGTCTGGTAAATACTTAGTACTTTTGTTGAGTTTACGTTTAATGATACTGTCATGGGAGCCATTTTTGACAAGTTCGGTCATACTCTAATTTCTTAAGTCCCTCGCTGACGTATTTGGGCCATTTGCGGCCTCCATTTTTTCGGTTACCAAGAATATTCCATGAAATAAGTCAACTTCCGAAACCTATGACCAGTCATCGCCAATCGAAGTGAATCAGTGTTTTAGAAAATACTGGGCCCTTCGAGGAAGCATCTAGAGACACAGATTTTGGTGAAGGCACTGCCTTAACAAGTTTTGGCAGATGCGCCGATTCTTAGACCAAATTGTTGAAGACAGCGCAGCGGTCTAATTTGTTTAATAAAGTTAGCATTTAGTCAATATCAGTTAGGCATCTTTTATATTAAGTTGATTAAATGTTGTCATTTTGATAAGTACATTATTTTATTTTGTCCCTTCATATTTTAATAAATGTTTTGAAGACATGTGCTAACGAGCCTTATTTCAACTGGAGATGTCTACTCCAACAGAAATATGTTTAGAATATTCTAGAAGCCACATATAATGCCTTTTTAAGTTTTAGTTAAAATACCGTTCTGGTACATACATATGTAAATTAGTGTATAAGTAAATGATGTACAAATTAGTGTCATATTTAGTACAAATAAATTAAGTCATAAAATGAATTAAGGTTTTAGTGAATATAAATTAAATAACAAAGTTTTAAATAAATAAACGTTACAGCAATAACACTTTTTAATTTCTAATGAATATTTGCTACTTTGTATCCTTTAAATTTGATTTATCCTTTACTAAAGTTTAAGCTCTATATGATTTTGACTGCTACCTTCCCTTTTAGGCCTGGCTATGACCCTTGGGTCGAAACCACAAAGCACGTATCTACTAGAGACCCCACGCCAATGTTAGATTTTTAAACCAAATTAGCGCCACCTTGTGTGTGGAGCAGGAACTAAAATGACAATTGACAATTGTAATTTTTAGTAGTAGGTAGTTCTAAATTAAATTTTAAATTATTTCCACATAAATTATTTTATAAAATAAAGTATGGAACTAGTAAGTTCGAAACTTTTTTTTACAAAATAATTTAGGTTGATTATGCCAAATTTGAGGAATTAATTTGTTATAAGGGGTCTGATGTGGAGAGTTGGTTCTGCATATTATTATTAAATAAATAATAAAATAGAACATTCTTAAAATATGTTTATTAATAACTTAAATAAATATTATTAGATAAAAATAAATGCAAATAATAATAATAATAATACATATTTAACGAATACTTGCATACTTGGCAAATAGCAAATAAGGATACAATCTCAAATCTATAAAATATCAATATATTTAAATGTGAAGTAGATACTAGGAAATTACATTTTACTAAAGTAATATATTTTATAAATGTCTTTTTAACCGATGACAAATGTAATATAGGTATTGGATTAAAAGGTGAAATTATTTCTAAATCTAGTCCAGTGATACATTGATTATCAATTATTGGTTGTATTACCTGTTTGTCTTTTTATGATGCATGGTGAATAAATGAAGTTTTTCTCGAAGTTTTCAACGTAGCACCAAAATTATTGCAAAACACAGTAGGAAATAGAAAAACAAAACATCACAATTTTGCAAATAACTAAAAAGAAACTATAAACATAAACCAAAAGCCAAAGCCAACAAAAAATCACTAAAATCAAACGGAAAACTAAGAATAACAAAAGTATAAATACACGTCATATCTTTGGATTCTTTGGTTAATTTTTCACCCATAAAAATAAAAATGGAGGAAGAAATCATAATTTCATCAGTAGCCCCATCTAGAGTTTGGAGTCAATAGCATAAGAAATGTCATTTGTCGGTTTTGACCTTGGTCCACATACTTTCCTCTTACTATAGGAAGAATGGTCGCATTGCGCAGCTTTCTGAGTGCCTTTTAAAAGGAGATAGAGAACTCCGCCATTTTGAACAATTATTATACGTATTGCCTACATCTTGGCGCAATAGTTTTAGTGGTTATGTTATAATATTTACCCAAAGTCAGTCCCCACAAATATTATTTACGAACCTACACTTTACAAAATCATTAACAAATAATGAAAACCTTGCTTTACTTCGTGATTTTATGTTAAGTATTTTCATTTGTAAGTAACAGTAACTACTTTAATTATGTTCCCATTGTTATATTCTAAATGCTTTTTATTTTTCAGGTCTCCTAGGAATTTCGAGCACTTAATATTCAAGTTTACAAACCACTAATCAAATTGTTTAGAAATTATTTTTAGCTAAACTCTGTTATATCTGTTCTCAGCATTTTGAGGAAAATGCATATTGCTCTTATGTTAAAAGGTATGTGATCAATCATGAAACAATTAATTCTTCGTAAAAGGCAAATACCAAGAAAGTTAAAGCATTTACTTCAATAGATAGGAGCAGTATTAAAATCAAACGAAATAATATAAATATACATGCAAGTAATATTGTTTTCTTTTTGGAACATTTATATTATAATAATTGTTTTTATTTATTTCAGGTTTACTACCTCTGACTCATCTACACACCTGGGGGTCAATTCTCGACTTGTAGGAATTTTTGACATTTTTCTACATATAGGAAAGTGTCACAAATTCCTATAGGAAAAGGTTCCTACAAGTCGAGAATTGACCCCCTGAAAGTAGAGGTAGCCCACAGCCTCACTAAGAAAATGGTTTATTTGGAACAGTTAGAAAATGACCTGTAATATTTAATTTTTTTATTTGGTACAGTAAACTGTAACAATTTCGGATAAATGGAAATTTCTGAGAAGCAAAAGTATCACTGATCGAGGTACATTGATTTTGTACGTTAGACATACACAGGAATCATAAAAGAAACAAAAACGTCTTTTAGAGCCACCATATGTCGATATCCTTTTTACAATATTAAGTCGACGGTAAGAAAATCATATCTAAACCATCGATTGCTATAGAAGCAGAAAGTAGGGAGATATGCAAGAGTTTTGAAAATGTACACTGGCAATCTAATTAATACAATTAACAAACTTGTGTAATCTTTGAAAACGAGAATATTGGTGGAGGTGGTGGCAGTAATACCAATAGGGGTATTTTCTTGAATAGAAAATATTCAGCAATTTCTTACTGTGTAACAACTGAAAGAAGACTCATTTGTAGATGAACAATACATCTGTTTTAGTTAAAAATTTAACAACTACATATAATTAATTTAAAAAAAATAACTGTTATAGAAACTCAACTTGTCTATCTCAGATAAATTATAAGATAAAAACACAAACCAACTATCTTTTCCTCAGGTAATAGCTTTTAGTTAGAGCTTCTTTAATCTCACATTTCTTTGTTTTTATTTTATAGTTTGGTATCATATTTACAGCTGAAAAAATGCAAAATATAATATTAGATTGTTTAGCCTCAAAGATTTTTATTACATTACAAAAATAAAATATTTGTTCATGGACATGGGACTTGCGAAAAATATCATAATATTAAGATAAAATCATATGCACAGCTTTATAAATAATTTAAAACCACTCAACTCTATTTCAAGTTGCACTCGCAATTATAACTTTATTTCAAAAAAGTTTCTTGTATATTATTTAAAATAAATAAACGTTTCTTCTACATTTGTTTCCTTTGTTTAAAATCTCAAAATACCAAGATGTAGGCTATCAGCTTAACATTTTGGAAAAATGTGTTGCCTAACCTAGTAGTAATTGCATCAAAATGGCCGCGCCCTATGTTGGGCGTGTTGGACGTCTTTCTTGCACCGTATAGTAATCAAAGTATGTGCCTTGGTCATTCACGTGGAATCTCTATGTGCTTTGTGGTCGAAACCGGTACCTATCCGTTTTATAGTTTATTATTAAAGTTAATTGTCTGTTCTGAAGTTGGCCACATTTGAGTAGTCAAATACCCTCTACAATTTATTAATATTAATCATTTTGAGGTATCCATAAGAAATGTAATCTTAGAAAAAATGTAATATCTCTTTGCGCACTTGTACAATCTACTATTTTCTATTTCGATGCTAATACAATCAATCGTTAAAAAAATATGTAGATATTTTAAGAAAGTCGTTATTAATGACCCCTCTTACACCGAATAATTTTTCAAGTAATAAACAGTTTTAATTTAAATTATTTAAATAAAATTTAATATATTAACTTTATTTTAATTTCAACAAATTATCTCACTAAAATCACTAAATCAATTAGATTTAAATTAAAATAGAAAATTTATTTTTCATTAAACTTGGTTTTCCTGATTTTGTGCCCATTATACACTCTATGTATTGTCCATCGTTTCCAAAAAATAATATATTTAAAAATGAAAAAAAAAAAACTTTTATTACTTTAGTAAAATAATTGTTATTACAAACATATTATTATTAAAGATTAAATACATTTTGGAATTCAAGGATTTATTCGTTTAAAACACCAGCTCCCTCATTGTAAATAACCTTCAAATCTTCAATAATGTTCAAAGCAGTATTTTCAGTATTTTTCCACATTTCATTGTTCATTTCCTGATTTTCTTCTGCAACGGCCTCTTTTTGATTTAATTTCTCCAAAACTTGTTCGTACAACTCATTCATATGGTTAAAAATCATCCCGGCAATTAAATTAATTTTGTCGTTGTTTCTGCGAATGCGTTCTTTTTTCTCTATTTCAAATCTCTTCACGTGTCCAGCAAAATCCTCCATTTTTAATTTGAAATTTTCTATTTGATTTTGAAGTTTTAGGATTGTCTCTTCAGGATCTTCCTTCTCCATTTCTATTTTCATATCCTGTTTATTTTTAAGAATGTTATTGCTGCATTTATCCATTTTTTTATTTAATATGAAGTTAACACTGAAACAAACATATTTATTTCATTTTATTTTTTTTTTATTTTGGTATAGACCGTCAAATACAAGCCTCGAAGAGGGTTGAAAGTTGAAAGGAAATTTACTAGTGGCTCCTGGGGATAACATGGAAAATTCGGTTTTGCCTAACCCATTCATGGCCACATTTTTCGTTACTAAATAAAGTTAGTTTTCTGAAGAGCGGAGAAAAAAGTTCCATTATTGGAACATGGCTACTTGAAAGTATAGAAATTTTGAAAAACAAACAATATCAAACAAAGTCATTTATTCATTTTAAAATATACAGGGTGTCTGTAAAAGGTCTTTACAAAAACATACCACATATTCCTTAGACCAAAATAAGTCGATTTAAGTAAAATTACCTTAGTACAAAGTTGCTTCGTTTGGGCTCCAGAGGGCCTTGAAGTTACAATTTTTAAATCGTTTTTCCCATATAAATTTTAAACGGCCTATGCGATTTTGCTGAAATTTGGTATATTGGTAGAGTTTTATGTGACAAAAAAAATGGTATTAAAATATTGTCCGATAATAATACATAGGCGTAGAACTTGATTTTTTAAATAATTGCACCTTTAAAAATTCTACGCCAATGGAAGAAAAGGAGTTTGAGTATGAAATTTAGATTGCGCAACTCATTTACTTTAAAAAAGGTACTCTTGATAAGACTCGATTACTCTCATGGTTTTCGCTAAATTTCTGTTTTAATAATTAAGAGTGTATAGGTTTCACAAAAATATTTATTTACAACATAATCAAAATAGAGATTTTACAAAAATTGTTCAAAATGTTCACCATTTTCATGCATACAAAGATTTTTACGTCGAAGAAAATTAAAATGTATCCTTTCCATAACTTCTTCATCACCTCTAAGATTGTTTTTTGCATCTTGAATACGTTGCCAGAGTTGTTCCTCATTTTCTTTAGGATGTGGATTTCAGATGTCCCCATAAAAAGTAATCCATCGGTGTTAGGTCTGAGGAACGTGGTGGCCAGTTTACAGGTGCGTCATTACCTCTGCCTATCCATTTGTGTGGATATTGTTCATTCAAGTGGTTTCTAACGTTTAAAGAAAAATGTGGTGGAGCTCCATCTTGCATAAACCACATATATCTCCGAGGTAGGAGAGGAAAATCTTCTAAAAATTCTGGCAACGTATTTTGTAGAAAATCCAAATAATTTTCTCCAGTTAATCTTCGTGGAAGTATGACAGGACCAACAATGAAATTACGAATTATTCCAGCCCACACATTAATTTTTAATTCGTGCTGAAAATGGTTTACCTTTATTGCATGCGGATTTTCAACGGCATAAACATGTTCATTATGGGTATTAGTTATACCTCTTCTTGTAAAACCCGCTTCATCGGTAAAGAGAACCTTCTTGACAAAGTTTGGATCTCTTTCTCTTTGCATATTAACAAATCGACAGAAACCCAAACGAATTTGAGGATCATGGACTAATAATTCTTGTACTGGCTTCTTATGGTATGAATATAGCAATTGTTCTCTAAGCACTTTATGAACGACATCTTTACTTACTCCTAGTTCCCTTCCAATTCGTCTGGTGCTTAATTCTGGATCTTCTTCAACACGTTCTAAAATGTCTTCTTCAACTTCAGGAATCCTTACAAAACGTTCTCTTCCATTATCAACAGTGTTGGGAGCAAAAGAACCGGTTTCCCGAAGACGTCTCTCAACAGCAACAAAAGTTGGGTGGCTAGGTACACGACGATTTGGAAACCTTTCAGAGTACACCCTGACACTCTCTCGGGCATTTCCTTCACAAAATCCTAATGTCAGTAACATATCGGTATATTCTGCATTGGTATATTGTACAGCCATATTAATAAACCACGCATTTGTTTTTTTAATTATTGAGTCAAATGGAACACTTTCAATCGTTAACAAGAGATTAGGTGTTAAAACTTGACAATATTTTTATTTAGATGAAACTATGGAAACCAACAATAAATGTTTTTGTATACGTATTGCAGGTAAATAATTAATATTCCTCAAAAAATCGTACATGGCAAGAATCGAGTATTTTTGTTAAAAGTCTCGATTAGAGGTGTTGAAGAAGATATGAAAAAAGTACATTTTTATGTTTTTCATCGTATAAAATTTTGTCCGATAATAATACATAGGCGTAGAACTTGATTTTTTAAATAATTGCACCTTAAAAGGGGTTTGAGTATGAAATTTGGATTGGGTACTCATTTACTACAAAAAAGTACCCTTGATAACACTCGATTTACTCTCATGGTTTTGACAAAGTTTGTATTTTAATAATTATTTATGTTCTAAAATTAGTAAAATGCAAATTTCGTCAAAACCATGAGAGTAATCGAGTTTGATAAGACTCGAATATTTTTGTGAAACCTATACACTCTAAATTATTAAAACAGAAATTTAGCGAAAACCATGAGAGTAATCGAGTCTTATCAAGAGTACCTTTTTTAAAGTAAATGAGTTGCGCAATCTATAAATTTCATACTCAAACTCCTTTTCTTCAATTGGCGTAGAATTTTTAAAGGTGCAATTATTTAAAAAATCAAGTTCTACGCCTATGTATTATTATCGGACAAAATTTTATTACCATTTTTTTTACCACATAAAACTCTATCAATATACCAAATTTCAGCAAATTCGCATATGCCTTTTTAAATGTATATGGGAAAAACGATTTAAAAATTGTAACTTCAAGGCCCTCTGGAGCCCAAACGAAGCAACTTTGTACTAAGGTAATTTTACTTAAATCGACTTATTTTGGTCTAAGAAATATGTGGTATGTTTGTGTAAAGACCTTTTACAGACACCCTGTATAATTATTTCTGTTGGTCATAAAAAGCTTTAAAATAGTCAAAAGGACGCATATAGGCACCATACAGAACACAACCAAAAGTGGATTGTTCAAACATTTACATGGTTTTCGTTTGAGAGTTTGTGGATATTGTGAAACATTCAAATTGTAGGCACAATTCTAGTTAATGCATTTCTACAACTCAGTAGTGTACCCTTCTAACCATACCCAAGTTTAGAAATTTTTCTAAGCAGGGGCAAACCCGTAAAAAACTTATCAACAAAAAAATTGTAATGACATTCTGAATTAAAATGTTTAAGTCTGTCAGTAAATGAGCTTACTATTGATCTTCCAAGATCAAGCTCTGAATTTTCAAGATGCGTTTCTTTTTTGTGATAAGGCTCTGTACTTATCAAATATCCATTTGAACCGTTGATCGACCAAAATTCAAATCCGTTGAGTGTTGAGTGTAGTACGAAATCATCGACTTGTCAACATCAACATTTTTTATCATCGAGACAGAATAAAATTGAGAAACATAAACACTATTTTGTCTGTTTTTTGTCTACTTGAAGTGGCCTATTGCCCAACTTTTTGCTAATTGGAGATTCCGCTACTTAACAGAGAGTATCATTATCTGGCTCAGCATCAGTTGTGTCATATACACGATTGCAATGAATTTTTAAAGATATCTCGGCTGAAGCACAGAATATTTTTGACGAAAACTTATTTGCAAAGTCAACCTCATCTTCGTTATCGGATACCTCGAAGTCTCCTGCACAGTCGTCTGACGTGAATTTATTCATTAATCTTATTCAATAAACGATTAAAACTATACATATATCTCTTTTTTCCATAAAATGCTTTTGAACCCATTTTACCTATGAACAAAAATTCAAATTCGCTACACTTAAGAAATGCCAAGTTCCAAAATCGGAACATACCTTAAAAATGGAGGTCAGTATAATTGCAAAAACTAACCAAACTTTTTAAAATAACTGAACCTCTCTAGAGATCACAACTGAATGATAGCAAAATAAAAGAAATAATAATTTTCAAAATTAATACTTGCATTAACATAGTGTTTATAAAAAACAACAAGTCCCTTGCCTGTTTGTGTATGGCGACTAATAATCCGATGAAAACAAACATGCACAACGCAGGTAACAATTTAGAGACATTAACTGAACAGCTGGAAATTATTGAAGGGTACCAAAAACATATTTGAGGGCTACCTATTAATTTGGGGCTAAATTAGTTACTGTTCCATTTTTGGAACATGGCCAGGAATAAGTTAACAGAAATTAAAGGTATTTGTTGCCCATATTTTCACGCAAGCCGTGTTCACTAAATGATTAACTAATAGAACCAGGCTTCGGAAAACCAAAGGCTTTAGCGTTGCAAGTGGCTAATGGGTTGAAATAAGGGCGTAATATTATAAGGAAAAATCGTACATACGAAAAATATATTGGCTTGAATAACCCCCCGAATGGATAAGTGCATTTTGGGGTCTGAAAATATTTCTGTTAAAGAAATCAAATTTTCCACTTGTAAATTTCCTTTCATTCTACTCGATGTAGTTTTCAACCCTCTTCAAGGATTGTATGTGAAAATGGAGCACCTAAATCTGTCAATATCTGACGGTCTAATAGAGACAATAGTTTTGCTCGATAAGGTAAATCAAATTATCGAATAATTATCGAATAATTGCCGAATAATTAATAATCGAATAATTATCGAATAATTATCGAATAATTATCGAATAATTATCGAATAATTATCGAATAATTATCGAATAATTATCGAATAATTATCGAATAATTATCGAATAATTATCGAATAATTATCGAATAATTATCGAATAATTATCGAATAATTATCGAATAATTATCGAATAATTATCGAATAATTATCGAATAATTATCGAATAATTATCGAATAATTATCGAATAATTATCGAATAATTATCGAATAATTATCGAATAATTATCGAATAATTATCGAATAATTATCGAATAATTATCGAATAATTATCGAATAATTATCGAATAATTATCGAATAATTATCGAATAATTATCGAATAATTATCGAATAATTCTCGAATAATTATCGAATAATTATCGAATAATTATCGAAAAATTATCGAATAATTATCGAATAATTATCGAATAATTAAACGTAAAATATTTACTTTAAACCTATGTTACCCATCCGAAAATCTAAAAATTCTTCAAAATGTGATTTTGCCTTTGGTGCTCTATTATTGGCGAATTCTGGAATTATTCCCCATTTTCGTAAAATTTTTATTGCTTCGTCTTTAATTTCGGAATATTAATTTCTAATTTCAGACAAACATTCCATTGTATTTTATAATAGATTGAACAGTTATGACATTAATCTCTTAATCAAGAAAAATACACCAAATCAATAATTATATGATTAATATGATTTTTTACTTCGTCTCTTGCCCTACCCAACATCTTACCAATATTTTTTTTTAATCTAAACGTGAAAAAATTCTTCAATTTTAGGTTTTTTAAGATAAATATTTAGAATTTACAATTATGTTACTAATCAATTCTCCGCAAAAAGGGCGCAAAAATAAATTAATTAAAAAACAATCAAAAATATATATTTTATTTGTTTTCACTTTTTTATTTCCAGAATATGATTTTTTAATATAGTTAATTTAATTTTTTTTAATTTTGCTTGTTTTTTTTGATTAACTTTTATAATAACAAATTTTAAGACCAATGAACTAAAACCCTAAATAATCTAAGAACTTACTTTTAATTAAATTACATATTTATTAAGTTACCTAATAAGTTTATAACTACCGGTATTTTATGATATAAATGTTATATCGGTCGATACCGGAGATAAGTCGATACAGATTAAGTGGTTTGATTTATTTTACTTGACATTAATATTTTATTTTGGCCATTCACCCTTGATTTGAATAATTTTCACTCTCTTTAATTAAAACAAAAATATTCCACTTACCTTTTAATAACTATAGAATGAATATGCTTTATATTCCACCAGTACTCATTTATCTAACTACGTTGTATTAAAGCGATTAAATAAAGTGCTTTATTATTGTGATATGATTATTATAATTGCTGATTATTTATCGGGCACAATTTTGCACTAAAAATATTATGAGTCACGCCAAACACAACATAAGCCTTCGACAAAGAATGCAGAACAAAATGCGCATGACTGTCTTTGCGAAGATATTTAAAGGTGAATAACTGGCAAATTTTGTGCAGGTCCGTATTTGAAGAGCTAACTTTCAAACGCGAACTAGTCACTTCAAAAGGATTTTCCAGGTAACAAAAATAATTGATTTTGATCTAACTAAGAGGAAATGAAGGTGAAAATTGCTTTATTTCATTAATTTAGATGTCATAGATATTATTTTTAACAACCATTGAAAACATTTTATTGTATTTTTTATTTAACTTAATTCAAGTTCGCGATTGACTGAACAATTTGGACAAGTTCGCGTTTGAATGGAACATCCTAGGATTAATTCGTTTTTGATCGGAAGCAATAAAAACACAATTTGTTTTATTTGAGTAATGTTCAAGTTTTATTTTTTACATATATGTACTTAAATTTGGAACAGAACAATATTATTTAGGTAAAAAACAGATATTTTTTTCATTTTAAAATTGAAATTTTAATTTTCTGTGTTGAATTTTTCAGTCTTATCAGGTATGCACCCCACAACAATCATCTTCTAAACAGTCACATCTTTCATTAACATCATCATCATTATTATTGTTAACAATAGTCAAATTTTCATCATCAATAATATCTTTGTAGAAGTTTAGGTTATCTATTTCTCTCCATTCGCCATATAAAGCTGTCAGTAAATCATTTATATCTTTTTACTTTACATCCGAAATCATGTGACCCAACTGCTTATCTTCCAATACAAAAGAATCAGATCCCCACTGACGACCCCTCTTCAGAAGTGAAATGTATTTTTCATATTCATGCTCGAATCTGAAATTTTCATTTGCTTTGACTGTAATATTAGTTTTTCCAGACTTTGTTGTGATTCTTTTTAAGTAAATTATTTTCTCATTGCTTATATTCTCTCTGTTCTTTAGATGTGTAGAGATACTTTGGTGTCTTTCAGTGTCCAATCTGTTCCCAACTGCTTTACGGCTCCAACTTCTTTAAATAGCTCATAATTCTCTTCTTTTGTTACCATAGTAGTTTTCTTCCGAAGAAGTTTCTCTAACCTTCCAAAAACACTGTCGGCAGGGAGGGAACTATGGCCTCGAACAAGAAATGTAATGATGATCTCTTTGATAGGACCTTGGTGGATTGAAAGGAATACATTAATATGTGGATAACAATGTTGTTTTTGTTTTGTCCTCCGCATCCATCACAGAAGAGCTTTAATACCTTTTTTCTATTATAATCACATGTTTTCAAGAAGTTCAGGAGAGCTGAAGAAACTTTAGTTGACCCTTTCCCAGCTTGCTCTTCAGTCCAAGTGTAGAAGATTGGGTTAGCATTTTTTACATCTGTAATACATAGATTATAAAATGAAAGTTTCTTCATGTTCTTTTTTCATGAGTTCATAATAAGCTTGAGCTCTTTTTTATGAATTCTGAGTTGTATTAACAAGTTAATTTTGGCTTCACCAATAGCATTTTTTATGAGGTTTCTAGTCTTTTCACAGTAACTACACACGTCAGTTGCTGGACTCTTGAATCCAATATTAAAGTCCTTGTTGAAGACACGTCGAAACATTGCAAGAGATACACGCAAATCGTTTTCAGTCATGGAATTATGAGGTTTCTAGTCTTTTCACAGTAACTACACACGTCAATTGCTGGACTCTTGAACCCAATATTAAAGGCCTTGTTGAAGGACTGGAATTTATGCTTTATGAAGTTTCTTGATATTCAGATCACATCTAAGGTACACTCTCTTAGATTTGTTGGCTCAACTTTCGTTTAGCGGAAATCTGTTATGCAAAAACTGTTGTCATAATAACAATTGTGATGGCTATAAGTAAACAAAAACCCTAATCTCATGGTGAGGAAATGCGTAGTTGCCAAGTTGTAGATGATTACGGTTTTTGTTTAATTTCATTTAGCTGAAATGAGTTACTCAAAAAATGTTGCCATGTGCACGCTTATCATGTTACCGACTAAACAAAAACCCAAATCTCGTGGTGGGGAAATGCGTAGTTGCCAAGTTTTAGATCATTTAATGTTTACTTTAGTTTAGCCGAAATCAGTTACGGAAAAACTGTTTTCATGGAAACACTTGTCATGCTAACGACTGAATGAACATCCAAATCCGGCAGTGAGGAAATGCGTAGTTGCCAAGTCATAGATTATTTAATGTTCACTTTGGTTTAGTCGAAATCAGTTATGAAGAAACTGTTGCCATGGAAACGCTTGTTATACTAACGACTAAACAAAAACCCAAATCTCGTGGTGAAGAAATGCGTATTTGCCAAGTAGTGGTTAGTATGTGGGTGGAACGAGCGTAGCGTGATCTTATGATGTAAGTGGAAAAAGGGCGCGCCCGGCCGACGCCGACGTTTCGAAATTCGCGCACGAGTTACTGCAGCTGAACAAGATCCAATCGTTGTGACATGTTTTGTGAATAATTGAAAACATATATCTTTTGTGAATAATTGAAAACATATATCTCTTTTTCTCACTTTCAACATTAGGATGGGAATTATTAAAAAACGCTTTAACAAAAACTGTCAAACGTGAATCTGAAACACGATGGAGCGCCAGAATACAAGCGGTTAGGGTTATCGTTGATGGGCTAGAGAATATAGTAGAACTATTAGAAAAATTAGCAAAGGACACTACCACTACAAGTGACACCAGAAGTGAAGTTACAATTCTGTTGTAAAATATACTAACTTTTAGTTTCATAACTTTAGTTTATGTCTGGTATGAAATCTTAAGGAGGATTGATCATGTGCAGCTCAGATTACAAGAGCCTAGAATTAATTTTAGAGAAGCGTTCCATGATCTTGAATCATTAGGGACTGAACTAGATGAAATTCGAGATAAGCTCTGTGAACAGGCAATAGAAAAAGCGAAGTCTCTTTTGAAAAATGGAATATTGATACAACAATACGTGTAAGAAGACGCCACAAAATGCCCAAAAAATTGTCTAGAGATGTTGGTTTTTCCGCAGAAAGTGAAATTTCTCGCGTTATGAAAAGCGTTCTTAAGTGACCTTAATTTCAAATTTGGATTTCTACTAGTCGTTTAAAATTTATTGAACAAGGATAATATTGATAGCGCCCTTGAAAAAAATTGTAAAAATTGGGGGTGAATTTTTGCAATACAGATTTCAATGGAATAGATTTCTTAATCGAAATATGTGACTGCAAAATATTACTCCGCAGTAGAAAAAAAATGAACCTAAAACTCCATTAGAATTTATTACTTTTATAATCTCGTATGGAGAAGATTTTTTTCCAAACCTGAGAGTGGCACTTCAAATACTCCTGACTATCTCAGTATCAATTTCTAGCTGCGAACGTTCATTCAGCAAATTAAAATTTATTTTAACATATCTACGATCAACAATGGGACAAGATCGCCTAAGTGACCTAGCATTTTTAAGTATGGAAAGAGAAAAATTTTAAATGATTAACTTTGATAATATTATTGATAAATTTGCTTCATCAAAAGCAAGGAAAATTTATATATAGTAATTATAATAGGTATCTTTTGAACTAATTCTAGATGATCAAATACATTTCAAAATCTAGTCTTGTTTTCTCAACTACATTTTTTGTCTCAAATTTAAAAAGCCTAGCTTGATGACTTTATTGATTTTACTTTATTTTACATTTAATATTATATGGTCATCGAATGGGGGGGGGGGCACTAAAAAGGTATTGTGTCCCCGGGCGCGAGTTAAGCTCGCTACGCCACTGACCCCAGGGGGTGACCATTCGACAAATACTTTTACATCCTTTGGTGCCCCTTCGGAATTATTTTAGAGGATGATAAAACGTTGAAACCTAATTTGAAGCCTTTTTGAATCTTTATTTTGCCTTCCTGATTATTGACCACTTTTTCAAGTCGAAATTCGATTAAGAAATTGTATTTGTCGAAGTTTTACACATTTTGGGGTCCTTAAAATTATGTTAGGGGGTGGTAAAATGTCAAAACATAATTCTAAGCCTATTTGGATTTTTATTGTGGCCTCCTGTCAATTGTGTTTTTTGATAATTATTTACCCTTTTGAAATGGTCAAACGCTATGGTGCATACAATTTTAAAAAAATATTACCTACTTCCCGTAGCAGGCAGACGGCATTTAATATTTTTATTTTTAGTATTTTTATTTCAAATGGTGGTCAAAAAAGTTACTATATAGTCAAATATTATCAATCGGTAATCAAAGAACATATCGCTCTTAAATCTGAATTTTTCGAAGATCCGAGAAAGCATATTCACGTAACTCGTCTATTATTTCTAGTTTTTCCAGACCCTTTCCGACATACAATCACAAATCATTACTCCCTTTGACTGTTTTTAGTAAATGCTTCAGATTTCATCAGTTAATAATTCTAATTCATTTCTATAATTAGGTATTTTGTAATGAGGTAGAATTTCCCACTCGAATATTTACTGGTGAGTTCTAAATAAAAATATTTTTACGATCACTATCCAAAGTAGGCTTTTGCGCTTCGAAATACAACCACAAAGTTGACGTTTTCCGCGAACTGACATTACGTGACAGCTTTGTCGGTCGCCGAGCGACAAAATTACAGCTTTGTTGCTCGCCTAATTTAAATTAGGTATAATACAATAATATTTCTTTTTAATAAGTGATGTTTAAGTTATTTGTACGTAGTTGCATTTTTTTGTTTTATTATCCAAGTTAAAATAGACTTTAAATATCAACTTTTTTCTTGATTTAGATAAAGGCAACACATTATACACTACTTAGGACAAATTTTCAGTTTTTATATACATTTCTGAAAATAATAGGATAGTAGAAAAAAATCTTGTGTGCATTTTGATCGAAAAGTTCGTTGCCGCTTTCGACACATTGCCGCGCTCCACTACGCGTCACATGGTCAACTTTCTGTCTCAAGCGGCAAAGTATTACTTATATTCTCAAGAAATAGTTAATAAGTTTAGTCAATTCTTTGAAAGTGTTTTTGTAACATCATCTGAGCCACAGCAGGACAGGGCTAGTCTACTTGAATCACAATTCTACGGTGATATCATTAAAATTGGCAATATCACCGATTCAAACATCGTACAAGCCAGTAAAAAAAGAAGCAATAAAATGACCTCTGGCTCTGATGACATCCCCTCATTTTTTGTTAAAGACTGTATTTATGTACTAGCCTCTCCATTAAACATAATATTTATTTAATCAGAGAGCTTCCCAGAGGAGCATGGATTAATCCTATTTTTAAATCAGGTGATAAGACACAAATCAAAAACTATCAATCGGCCTGTATCTATTCTGTCAAATCTATCGAAAATCTTTGAGATTGTCATTTATAATCACATATATTCTTTAGTCCGCAACCTAATATCGCCTTGGAAGCATGGTTTCTTAAACAAAAAGTCTACAGAAAGTAATTTAGTAATAACTCAGCACTTATCTGAAGCGGTTGATGCAGGTAGGCAAGTGGACGTTATTTACACTGATTTCTCAAAGGCCTTTGACAGAATGGATCATGGGATATTGATTGATAAATTGAAGCAATTTGGCTTTTCTCAGACCTTGATAAGGTTCTGTATGTCATACCTTCTGGAAAGGCAGCAGTTTGTCTTTTATAACGGTCATTCGTCACAGGTGTACTTTGCAAAATCAGGTGTCCCTCAAGGTTCTAACCTTGGACCATTGCTATTTTTGTTATTTATTAATAATCTCGATCATTGTTTAAACTCTTGTAGACTCATTTATGCAGATGACTTTAAGATATACCTCTCAGTATTTGATATGTATGACTGTTTAGCGCTTCAGCAGGACCTAGATATATTGTCAGATTGGTGCATGCAAAATAGGTTAAAGTGTAAAGTGATATACTAGAAAAAAATCAATTATAGATTTTTATTATAATATTAATGGTTTGGTATTGTCACGTTGTTCCTCAATCACTGATCTGGGTGTCACTTTCGACTCAAGGCTGAGTTTTGTTGAGCACATTATTATGAAGGTTTCTGACGCAAAAAAAATGTATAGTTTTGTTATACGAAACTGTCGTGGGTTCAAGGACATTGGAGCATTAAAGACTTTATATTATTCATACATCCGCACTAAGCTTGAGTACTGTTCAGCTATCTGGTGTCCTTATTATAATAACTAGTGTTGAATCTGTTCAAAGGAAGTTTTTGAAATACTTATCATTTAAACTAAATGATGTCTACCCGCCAAGAGGAATTGATTATCAGCTACTTTTGGACCGTTTTAACATGGAAAGTCTTGCGTTTTGGAGAATTCTAGCTTCATTGACTTGTTTACATAAAATCATGAATGGGTTAATTGACTGTCCTGCTATCTTGGCTAAAATTCATTTAAACGTTCCACAGTATAATAACAGACATCACTTTTTACTGTAATAGATCTAGAACAAATATTCTATTAAGCTCACCTCTCAATGTCATGTGTAATAACTTTAACCTGTACTGTAATTCTTCGGATATCTTCAATGATAGTTTGATAAATATTAAAGCAATTGCTTGTAACTATTATGACAATGCTTGAGTTTTTTATTTTATTTTTTTTTATTTTTATTGATTTTTTATTTTCAGTTTTTATGTGATACCTACTTTTTATTTTATAAGTCTTTATTTATCATGTCACCTTTACTACTTATATTGTTGATAAATTATAAGGTTGCTCTGTAAAGGGATTTGTATCTGTTGGGCAATAAAGGCTATTATTATTATATGTATAATTTTTGTATAAAAAGTTTCTTTAAAATTAACTTTTATTACACGGAATACCAGGACTCTATTTTTACAAATTCGTCTTTTTTATAGGTTTGGTTCCAAAATCGACGTGCCAAATTTAGAAGAAACGAAAGAAGCCTAAATCTACAACAATCACCGTCCAGCAAACTCCCTTGCAAAACGTCTCCTATACCATTGAAACCAGAAGTATCAGATAAAACGTTATTTCCTTATCAAAATGGCGTGTCAGCCCATTCTACTACTCAACCACACTCAGATCTTCAATATATCATGCCTTGGAAATGCTCTTATTCCCAATATAATCAACACGAATTATATTCGAATAATTTTAATAGCTTGCCTGCTCAAACATGTAGTTTTTTATCAAATTCGCATTTTAACTATGGAAGTTTATCATCGAATTCTATGTGCAATACTTTAAATATGCCTACAATAAGATATAGATCTCAGGATTTTAGTTTATAGATTTTACTAGCACATTTTTTGTTTGTTACAATAAATTAATTTAAAATTTGTGTTTTTGTTTCTCCTTTTTTTCAAAAAATAAAAAGTTAAACCTAGCAACGCGATGTTGCTACAAGACTTTCGGATGAGACAAACTGCTAGAATAGTACTTCTTTAAGAAACATAGAAACAGGTGAAATGAAAAAGTAGACTGTTTTGTCATGATACTTATTTTCCCATACTCGCAAGCATTTGCAGACGATATTAAGCATCGTAGTAAATAGTATATTTGGAGACGTTGCTTCCTAAAGGAAGTCACAGGCACTAAATATCCTCGAAAGATTTAAAATGAAGTTTGTAAACAAACCTGGCGAAAATCTATTTTGTTTTATTTACAAAATGAAAAGGAATGAAGGAACTATATATTCACAAAATGAAAAGGAATGAAGGAACTATATGTGGGGACAACATTTAAAAGTAACAAATTTAGTTAAATATCTTGGAATCACACCCACAATTCTGCAGCCCTATTAAAAAAAAAAGAGAGAAAGGCCGTAAGACGCCGTGATAGAAAGATAGATCTTACCAAAGTGTGAGGCATTGGCTATATACTAAGGTACGGTTGTAACCTACTCATAAAGGATGAAAGCGAAAGAGCTAGCAGAAAATTAGATAAGGTAAAACGAATAACAGTAGATATTAGAAGTACGCCCACTACAGCAATGGAGTTACTACTAGGACACCTTGTAGTGGAAAAAGAAGCTTTGGCATTTGGATGGGAACTGTCAAGAAAAAGACAACGTACTATCAGAGATAAGGGAGATAAAGATAGGAAACGCTCATAAGAAGCCAATGCTTAACAACGACCAGCTTTAACGCAGTCAACATCTGACCCACTATGTGGCGCTTTCATCGATATCAAACAACGTAGCGGGAAACCCACATACTTTGATTACTATACGAGGCAAGAGAGAGGTCCGACACGCCCAACATAGGGCGCGGCCATTTTGATTCCTATGCTACAGTTTATAGCTAAAGAATCAGATCGCTCACTCTGCGTCGGCACTTTGGATCTCAATGTTTCAGTTTATACACTGTGCAACTCGGATAATACAATATATGACAACCGCCTATAATAAAATAGCAGTCTTCTGCGTATCCTGAATTTGTATCCCTGGAGTGGATGTTATTTTGGAACTTTCAACTGGTCCGAGTGAGCTAACTGATTCTTTAGCAATAAACTGTGACTTCAAAAATAATGTTCACTGACACTGACAGCAGCAAGCAAAATATCAGGTGCGTTTTAATCATCCGCTTCTGGTTCCGGAATTGTCGGTTTAGTCGTTTTAACCTGTCAGATTAAAACAAGAAAACTGACAATTCCAAAGCAAGCGGATGATTAAAACGCACCTATTAAAAATATTGCGCCAAGATGTAGGCAACACGTAATAAGGGTTCAAAATGGCGGAGTTTTCTATCTCCTTTTAAAAGGCACTCAGAAAGCTGCGCAGTGCGACCATTCTCCGTATAGTAAAAGAAAATCAAAGTATGTGGGGAAACCTGATAATAAAGGTTGCACCTTAGAGTATATAGGACTAGAGGTGTTACTCAAATGGGTTTGTTATGTACTGAGTGGGTAACCCCTTCTGTGTTAGGTACACGACGCATTATGATTGGCGAGTTAGGAACTCGACGATTTATGATTGGCAAATTTAAATAACGCGCGTATTTGTGATAAATGACATTTCATTTGACGTCTTGCTTCCATTTTTAAAACGATCGTTTTTTGTGACTTCCAAAGCTCCGAGCAATTACTAATAGAGGGAGTGTGAAAACGAGTTTATAGGCGATTGTTGTGTTAGCAACATCTGTAGAGGAAGTGAGGAAGCGGGCACAAGGGGGAAGGTAAACATCCTTCTTGTTCAGTGGCGTATCATTTATCAATAAAAACAAACGTTTTAATTGTTAAAAAAACTAAAAAATTTGCTAATATTACTATTTTTAAAATGAATACCGTCTTATATGTGTCTAATGCAGGAAATGAAACAAAATCACTGTAAAGGTCTAATTTTTTCAATTGAAGAATAAAACCTTAAAATCAATTTTATTATAAATAAATACAGGAGCGACTAGTTTCGGCTTTACAGGAATATCTTCAGGCCTATAATACAATAATCTTTAATTATTATATTAGGTTGGTCACTTACGAATAACATTAAATAGTATAAACCACAAAAATGGATCCATATTGTAGCGTTACAGCATTATAGAATTAAAGCTATGAAAATAAAAGAGCAGTGCAAATGTAACTAAAAATAAGAAAACTGAGTACGAAATCTACAAGAGAAGAGGTGAGAATGAGCAATTACGAATGCATTTAAATTGCTCGGGATAACAAATAAAGCTGATAATGTAGTGGTGTAGTCCCCGTCAAAGAAGGTCTGGATATGTTAAAGAGTACGGCGTTTTCTCTGTAAATCTGGAGAATGTAAGGATGGAGGGAAGACGAATCTTGCTGGCTCAGGTGTAGATGGCTAGAAAAAGAAGCGTGTAGATGAAAGCTCCAGTAAATATCGCCACTTTCGTCTAATTTTTTATTCTCACTCACCGTTTTGGCTTTATCTTCGAAATTCATTTTTAAAAGGAAATAAAAGTAATCATTCATACAAGCATATAATAAAACAACATGAATTCATTATATTTAATAAGCTAATAAACGTTTGTTTCAATGAAAAAAACATATGTGAATATAAAAAATATATAAATAGATAAGATTAATATCAAAATCAATTTGAAAATACTACAGATAATAAAATAAAATAAATTAACACAAGTACAAATATAAAGTTAATAACATACCTTTTAAAAGTAACACATTTTAAGTAGATAAATGTTTAAAGAGTTTATTCCTGAACATAACTAATCTAACGTTTTTTCCCTTTTTAATATTATGAGGGTTTTTGTAGTTGAAATGAAAATTATAATTTATTTTGGTCCTAATAAAAATTTAAACATAGGTTATCTAAGAGTAAAATACATAATAGAACTTCATAATCTTAAATCGTTATCAAAAATTACTAATGGTAAAACTTCAAACAATAATTAGATTCTTAAACAAATTTCTAGTTTTTGCTTTGCAATAGACTTTTTTGCCTTCTTCGGTTGCCTCTGCCACTTTTCTTTTAGTAGTTTCGAGGAGAATTTTCATATGGAAACCAGTAGAACCATCAATTGGTTGGTAAAATTTTGATATTTTGGGTATGGTAAGTCTTGTTAAACTTTCTTCTTAGGAAGCTGTAACCTTATGGAGAATAAAAATTTAATGAGATCAAAAGCTCTTAATTGAGAATTATATTTGCAAAGGCCGTTTTAATAATATTTTCAAAAGTTCTTGGAATCGTTGTTAACAGAAACCTGCAAAAAAATATATTATTTTATTCCTAAAATATAAGATATCACACAATGCACATTCATATAATATCATTGTGATAGAAAAATACTAGGTAGGTACTGAGATAATTTAAAAAAAGTATTTCGAGAAACTCAACTTTTAATGTCATCATTGTACTTAACTTTTTTATTGCTAAATTGTTAATAATTTCATTTTGTGTAGTTTGTTGTGATTTGTATAATATATATTATAAAAACCTATCGTCAATGTAAATGTGCCAAGTTTTTTTAATAATTATGTCCTTGTTATAGTAAAAACACATTTTTAAAGTTTTCTGGATTTTGGCTTTAAATTATCGTACAATTGAACTGACTAATTGTGTGTTTAAGTAAAGGTATAATTCTTTTTTGTTATAACAGTCTTTGTATATTGTTCTAACTTTTTAGATAATCAGAGAAAACAGTAAGACATCTTAATATATCCTATTTCACCAACAAAAATGTAGAATAATTAATCTCACATCAAACGAAAAAAGTCATTTTAGGATGTCCTAATTGGTTTCAACTTAAAAACTAAATAAAATGTATATTGTAACTGTGTTTAAATAAATGAATGTTTTTATACCTGACTATAGCACCAGACAACCATTTTTATAGATCATAATGATCTGCATAACTCAAAATAGTCAAAATCCACATTATTTAAGTTGTTCTAGTATTGTTTTAGCATAACGATGTAAACTCCAAATATTCATATTTTTTGAGACGTTTTTTAAGGAAATAAAAAAAAACATGAATAATGTGATATTCTTGTTTAGTTTTGTACTATATAATATAGTTCATTAGGTAGTGATTTAAAAGGAAATTATGTTCTATTTATAGAATAAAAAATCACTCATAATATCTAAATATTTATACCTATTTATATTTTGGACAGAAAGACTATTTTATGTTTTTGGCTCTGAATAGTTTTCTTAAGAATTTTAAAACCTTCCTTAGCTCTTTTGGGATATTCCATGTATATCTTAGAAGTTCATTTTGTTTAAACCTAAAACAAATTAAGTACAAAAAATGAAAATTTAAACAATACACAAAATTAGTCTTTTAGATTAGTTAAAAAAAAGTGTCAACAAAAAAATGGCTATGCCTTTTTCCTTAAACATTATTTTTGAAAGAAACTTAAGTTTCTCTACTTACTTGCTGTTTTAGTATTTTAGTAGCAGATGAATATAGTGTAGAAGTAGTGACAGGATTGATTATTATACTTCTTTCGTCGAAATTGCATTTTTCTTTAATATTTTCCTCCCTTGAAGTCTGTAATAAAAATGTTCATTTAGCATAAAAAGTTATTTAGGTGGTCACTTGTTGAATTCCTATATTTTGGAACCATGTATTTCTTTCTCATATCAAGAAAAGGAAACCTAAAAAAAATAACAATAAACTTTACAAAGATGTGATCTTAAAATAATAATAATAAGTAATTAACCTTTACTATAATCATTATGAGACGGATGAAGACGAACTTAGCTGGAGTTTACTTGCTCTTAATTTTAATTTTTCGATAAGAAAATAAGAAAGTTTAATTGCAAATTAAAGGTGATTGCCTAATGCACCGCCTCTGATAAATAGGTTGTGTCTGTACTTACTTATGATATTATCTTGAAGAAGCATTTTTAACA